AAGGTTTCAGTGGTCCGAAAATGAAATTATTTCACGCAAGCATTCCCGTAGATATCATATTTGAATTAAAAACACTGGGTCAGAAGGTCGTAACGCATTTTCACACGCCGCGCTTTCGTCTTCTCAGCAACTGATCAAAGTTGCAAGTGAATTACAGCTCATAGAGGCCAAAATGAAGCAGTTTCCATGGAATCCTTTTTTTCCTTTTTTGCCTTTCCTGAGAGCGCGCGGCAAAAATGAAGCTCACTTTTCAGGTCCTTGGAGCCCCTACAATATGCAAAAAACCGTTTTAAAAACCACGTCCTGAACGACCTCCTATGTTAGTAAAAGTAATCAACAGCAGTGTTAGCAGAGAAGGTCGCCGGAAGTGCATTTGTTATGGGAATCGTATAGGATTCCAGGCGTGAATCATTAATTAAGTGGATTCGATCACAGTCTTATGCTAATACGGCTTACGTCTCGGTCCGATCCCGAGCTATTGTCCCATTTCCCAAACTGAATCATCAACACGACAACACTATTTCAGCATTACAGTTTTTCCCCCCCCCCCCCTAGAGAAATTAGTGATGCTCCACAGTTCCATAGCATGCGGGACAGGTCATTCAGGATTCCAATAACGATGAGGGAGTGCCTTTGTGAGCGCAAACCCCTCTCTCTCTGAACGGCTGCCTTCAATACGACAACATGACCCCCTTCACTCCCCTACCTGAGATTTCCTCTCATTCCTCAGACAGGGTACATTATCGCGGTGAGAACGACGTCTTTATTGGGAGTCTCCCTCCCCTACGTTAGCTCTAAACGATCCTCGGACTCCACCTCTCCCTACGATCGACATCTCATACTTCTACCAAGTGGTAAAACACGCAAATAAGGTGGTGTTCGCCTTGGGAGAAGGAGCGGCACCTTCCAGTCCGAATTTCCGTCTAAATTTCCTGAGGAAATGGCATCTACCAATGGACCCCTACTGGCAGTCACCAAACGTTTCAATAAACTAGCCTGTTTGGCTGTTTGTTCGGCTAACTAAACACGATGCCAACACAACAATAGTTTCGGCTACTTGCTGTCATCGGTCGGCCTTATTGAACACTTCCCGATCGGTTTAGAACGAGGTCGTTCCTGGACTAGCATTTCGATTACTCCCATAAACGAACACCTGATTCAATAGTCGATGCATTTCGCAATATGCCCATGAAATTGTCAATAGACACTTCCATTTTGCTCTTCAACTGGTTTTGATTCGGATTATTTACCTGTGCGAGTCAACATATAAGACAATGGAGCAGGGGGCAGCTGGTGCTGCCACGGTCCCGGGTCCGACCAAAGCATGCGTACCAAATGAGTATGGAATTTTGGATTAGCAACACCCTTAGAAGTTCCGTGCTATAGTCCAGACTCATATGATACTCCTGCAAGGAGAACTGCACTTACGAAGCTATAATTTCGGCAACCCGTAAGAGTATATGAAAAAAGGGTCAGTCGTGTGTGAGCCACGTTATATACTAACATACTGAATGCGAGGAAAAGAATGCTTTCTCCAAACGGATGCCCACACGAAACAGTTCAAGCGATCAAGAGTGGGAAAATATAATAAAAAATACGTTTGTTAATTTGCGACCGCATGTGGGTGGGGGGGGGGGGGGGGGGTCGGGGCTCCTTATCGACAATTGTTTTTGTTGATTTTTACGCCGCCTTGTGGAAGTTACGGATGAAGGGTTTTACGTTAGTGAGGCTGTCTACGTTTCCGTGCTATTGTCCTTATTATTTGGTGACACAACTATTACTTGCCTTCTTCAAGTCCACCTTTCCGAATAGGTTTATACTATGTAAATTTGAGTGATGATGCGTGAATTTAGACTAGAATCAAACAGAAAGGGCTATACTCCGAGTAGAGCGTTTCTATGGGATCTTTCGGGGATGGATCACCGATCTTCCCTTAAATTCGTTGGCCGCATTCGAGCCAATTTTCCTGTGAATTCGCTTTTTAACGTGGTGCATGTTTTTATACAATAGCAAGTACAAGTAGGCCAACTACCGGTCCGCTCACATGAAATGCTATAGTTTAACTTTATTCTACTTTTAATAGCTTCTCTATGCACGTTCTTGTCGAGATCATTCTCCTCGATAAAAATGTGGTGTAGAATTGCTACCCATATTTTTCCGACTTGGAGGCATGTCTATGAGGTCGACAAGGAAGGTAAACACGGGTCGTTGTAAGTTTTTCTCAAAGGACCCGGTCCAGTTGAAGGCCAATCGTGATGAATTGATTAACATTAAGGTGTTCGTTACTTTTTCATGCTGGGGTGAGGGGGAGAGCGTCGCATTGCAAATAGTGGGCTCCCGTACGTGGATAGAAAGAAATGCGCAAAAAGGTGTTGGGAAGACAGGCGACTTGGCCGTGGGTTGTGTGACATGTTCGCAGTGCCCTTTTGCGCGACAATCTTCACATTGGTCCGCTATTCTACTTACGGGCCTCGCACTCTTCTCCACTCCCGCTCGCGTTCATTTTCCGAGAGACATAAGTTCGGGGGTGATAAAGAGCTGGAAAAATGGGGAATTGACAGGTAGTTGATTGAGACAGGGGGTGTTCGAACCAGGGACCACTCTTCGGCGTGGGGGGGGGAGTCGCACTTTTCCACTGGGGAGAGTGGAGGGTCGCATAAAGGCTTTCAGCAGCAATAATTTGCCGCAGTTTGTCAAAAATACTTTCCTGGTTGCTGACTTTCGCGGCTTTTTCGCAATTATCATGTGGCGTTCACTCTTCCCAATCTATCCCACCGCCCCCTCGACACAAGCAGATTTTATCAACAATAAGTGACTTTATCGCTTACCTCCAATCTGATTATAATACAGACGACAACGGCGATGCTCTGAAACCATTCGGGTGTAGTCGCGATGTTCTTCCAGTCCGTTCCAGCAAACGTCTTGAGATCGTCTTCCCATCGCATTCGTGGCCTTCCGACTGCTCTATTTCCGGAGGGCTTCCAATTCAACAATCGAACTTCCCATCGTGTTTGATCTCTGGTCATCAGTTTATTCGCATATATCCATTTGCGTTTTCTAGCTTCAGCAACGACGTCTTTCAGCTGTGTCCTGACTCTTATAGCTGTATTCGATACCTTGTCGCTGAGTCGAAGACCGAGCATCTGTCGCTCCATTCTTCGCTGAGTTCTTCGCAGACGTTCTTCATGCGCCTTCGTTAGTGCCCATGTCTCGCATCCGTACAGTAGTGCAGGCATTACGCAGATATGGAAGAAACGTCGTTTGATCCGCATCGGCGTCATCTTGCTTCTTAGTAGAGTTCTGACTTTTCTGTGGATGTTCCATGCCGAGCTGATCCTAGAGCTGATTTCCTGACCGCGTTCCTGCGGAAAACAGATAACTTGGCCCAGGTAGACGAATGATGTTACTTGTGCAATCTCCACCTCGTTTACTCTGAGTTGATGGCCGTTGGAGCTGGTTGACATCCATTTGGTCTTAATTTGCGTTTCACTTCTAGTCCAGCCTCTTTGGTCGCTCTAGTGAGTTTACGGAGCATTATTTGTAATCCATCAATAGTTGGAGAGCACAGAAAAAGATCGTCAGCATATGCGAGGTAATTGAGACGATGTTTGACGCCAATGGGGTACCCTTGATCCTCCCAGTCAATGTCGTCAAGGCAGGAATGGAGTGTCAGAATGAACAGCAATGGAGATAGTGAATCACCTTGTCGAACTCCTCGTTGTATGTCGATCATCTTCTCTGTAGCACTGAGAGTCAGAAATGATCGGCCAGCAGCATAGAGCTGCTTTATCATCCGAATCGTACAGTCGTCTACTCCATATTTAGCTAATGCTCTCCAGATAGCATTGAATTCGATAGTGTCGAAGGCTTTTTGATAATCAACGAACACCATATGTAGTGGTTTCTTCCATTCACGGCATTTTTCCATCAACAGATTGACGGACATAATGTGGTCACGGGTGGAGAAACCGCGTCTGAATCCAGCTTGCTCAATGGGAATAGAGCTCATTACTTCTTCTTCCACACGATGAGCTAGTGCACGGGTGAGAACTTTGAAGAGCGTCGACAATAAGGAGATTGGTCTATAGTTGCCGATGTTGGAAGGGTCACCCTTTTTATAGAGAAGGATGGTTTTAGCCTTAACGAAACTTTCCGGGAAATGGTTGAGTTCGAAAAATTGGTTGAGTTCGGTTGCGAGATCGTTTGCACACATGGGGACCAGATACTTCGTTACACTGGATGGGATTCCGTCAGGGCCAGATGCAGTGTTTCCACGAATGCCACGGCATGCTTTACAGAGTTCGTCTGCAGTAACCGGCCGTCCCAACGGGCCAGTTACAGAGTAAACAAAAGGTCCTTGGGAGGAGCGGTAGAGCTCGTTGTAGAACGCAGCCGCGGTATCAATGGCTTCTAGTGGTGTTGTCGTCAAAGAACCATCTGCACGTTGAAGTTGTGATATTTGTTTATGCACATAGGCCAACTCGTATCTAGCATGCCTTATCCTTAGTTTTTCGATGGCACTTTCCATGCAGCTCGGGTACGTTGTGCTTTTTCTGCAAATCATCTGTGAGTGACGTGTATAGCAGGGGATTCGTGGAGCCATTTGCCAATCCAAACTTCTGCTTTCTTCGCTCTGCCATCAGTGCCCTTGTGCGAGCAGAGACTCGTTCCACTCGCTGCTGAGAAGTTTGAGCCAAGGTCATGCAATTTTTAGCCACCTGTAAGAAGCTTGAAATCCGGAAACCGTTTGCTGGACGGGGCTGCATTGCCATTGCAGCTTGTAGTTTCAGCTTGTCGAAGCTCTGTGGCAAGGCCTTGTTTTTTGGTGGAAATGAGCAGGCTTCATTGACATCGCCAAAGTTACTCGTACCATCCGGTGATCGCTACCGACATTGCATCCAGAAAGCGTTGTCACATCGCGGACAAACTTTAGGTTGGGGCATAGTACGTGGTCTATTTCAGTACGGGTGGTTCCGTTTGGGCTTCTCCATGTCCATTTTCTACCAAACCTTTTTCTTGAAGAATGTGTTGGCGACTAAAAGGCCATTTGCGGAGCAGAATGACAGCAGTGTCGTGCCTCTAACGTTTCTTCTACCAGTAGCATGAGGTCCGCATCCAGGCACATGGTTGGGAGAGCGTCCTATGACTGCATTGAAGTCGCCGAAGATTATTTCGGGTACAGCTGGACTTCTAAACGGATGTCGTGCTGCTTCTACCTCGTCAAGGAACTGCTCATACTCTTCATCTGCTGCGGCAGAAGTCGGCGCATGAACTTGAATAATCCTGAGACGTCTCTTTCTTATAAGGAACTCGGCTTGTATTACACGATCGCTGATGTAACGGATACCGACGAGCTTTTTGTTCATCCATGTGGACATATAAAATCCCACTCCAGCATATGTGGGGGTATCGTCGCAACGTCCACTATTGTATAATACAAAAGCCTGATCCAAGTTGAAGACACTCACGGTTAGGGCGTCGGGTTTCGGATAATCCAATCAGAGTGAACTTCACTTTCCTGACGTTGGCTTCAAAATCCGCGAGTCGTTGTTGAGAACAAAGGCCGCGGACGTTGACTGCGGCTATCTTCAGGAAGGTCCGAGCACGGGAGTCGCTACTTCCAGCTTGGTTTGACGGCGAAGTCATCGGTGGAAGGAAACCAACCGTCCGAGGGGGAAGCAGACGAATGGAATGAAAGCAGATTTTTTGGGGTAAAAGTGGAAAAATAGGTGGAAATTGCGCACGTAGGTGTTCCGCGAAGCGGGGACCAGCGGGGAGTCAAACAGGACCCTCTCTCGAGGGGGGGGAGGTCGTACGCGACACACCATTCGCGATGGCTGGTACCCTGGGACGCTGAATGTCATCATGCTTACAATTAATATCGCCGCAATCCCATTGCGAGGGCGGGTCCTTAAGAGGGAAAAAATCGAGATCACCCGCGGCGCTCCCACCATTGGTGGTTTCCTTCTCAAATCGATCACCATTGGTGGAGCAAGGCAGTCGGAGGCGGGCTCATCCTGCCCCTTTTTGACATCGTCTCGATTGATTGCGACATTATCAACTATAATTCCGATGGGCACCTAATCAGTCCTGCAACCTGCTGATTTGCCCAGAAGGTGGTCCCATTGTTTGCGATCTACAAGCCGTCTCTCTCAAATTTATTGTAAACTCAATATAAGAAAAATGAGAAACAGGTTATATATCGGAGATAAAATCCTATTATATCGAGTTACATCGCGAGAGAAATAAATAGCTTATTCAATAAAAAAATTATAAGCTTTAGCTGAAAGGACGAACGAAAAACTACAGTAATATGAATAAATTAAATGTAGGAGCAAAAAAGGCTGTTATGCTTATACATACAAGCATTCCTATAGCACAACAACAAAAGAGTCGTCACCGTAAATCGTATAAGCGACATACATGGCAAAAAAAAACAACGTAGAACTATTCTGGAAAACAAAGAACCAATGAGATTTAAAATACCGAGCTCTTTGACTTGCGGAAAATTTTCAATATTATTAAAAGAATTTTCTATGAAGGATTTTCTTGCCTTCGTCCTCATATTCCTTCTTACTTACCCATAGTTTTCGGAATGTATCCAGACTAGCTAGAATTGATCCACCAATCCAGGTAGAGTAGAGACGTTCCTAAACGGTCAGAACTATTGACGAAGGAGCTCTAAAAACTCTTGTTATAGTTATAAAGGACTATTAGCTGTAAATATCGAAAATGAAGAAAAATAGGACTCATGTAGCGCAGCAGAAAGAAGCGCCGCTTTTGATAGCCCCAGGATGGGCTAGCTAGGAAAGGGTGACTACTAGTCTACGCCTCCGTATCGCTTACCCTCATTAAGGCTTAGACTTAGTGGATTACTGTGCCTTCCCAGGGGGACCATCCCTCGACGAGTCTGGTCGCCTGCGCTCTAAGCCTGAGCCTTTTTGGGTAAGAGATGCTGTCAAAGGGCTTCCAGGCTTACAAAGATGAATGGGAACGAGGTGGGGGTGTGATGATAGCCGGGTGCAGTTTGAGACTGTGATCGCGCTATCCTCAATGCGCAGCAGCTGCGTCGACACCGAGATCCCTCAGCGAAACACGACTCAGCGGCAGAGAACAACCACAAGTGAGTGGCCGCAGAACAAGTACGCCGGTTTGGCTATGGCTCATGTGTGCGGCAGTGCGGCAGGAGCATGAAAGAGACATACGTATCACTACCTACAGCCCCGGCTTCTCGTGGCTAGTATTCCTCGGTGCAATGGCTTTGGAAGAGCAACGACCATCTTGCCTGAGATAAATAGAGATAGATATTGAGAAAGCGAGATGGACACGCGGGCAAAAGCCTTGATAAAGTACCCCGCTGCAGACATGGAACTATTAGAAATGCTGAGTCGAGTACCGAAAAATCTAGGAGAAAACCAGGTACAGCTCGGCTCAGGGGCACCTTGCTCCGTCGATTAGTGCGATACCTCCTTTGGAAACTTGGGTAAGTTCCTGTGATGCTCTGCAGTAGCAGGAGCCTCGTTTACAATTGTCAAGAGCCAAGAGTCTGATGACCACGATAAGACATGTAATTCAAGAGGAACTAGCCATGGAGACCAGTGAAAGTGCAGAATGCATTCCTAAGCCAAACTGCACTTAAATCCAGTGTTGAAGTTGGTAGATGGCTTTGCCTGAGCACCTGCTTCGTATATCTTCTACGCCAACATTAGTAGAGTAGAAGAACGAAGTGACGTGAAAAACAGGCACTGCCCCCTCCCCCGCTCATTAATTACAAGATAGCCACTGCGAACGATCCATACAAAATTTGCTTCTTTTTCATTTCAGCTGCACTGGGCTTTTCAATTGTTCGTCAGCAGTGATACCAGTCGACTGAGTCCGTAGCCCGTTTTATTCTCTCAACATCTCTTTCACCACCGGTACTCTACCGGAGTATGGCAAGCGGGCGACGATGACTTTCCCATGGCTGCTTAAGATAAGAAGGAAGCTAACCATATGAAATAAGTGTTCCATCGTTGATCGCTGGAGATTACAGGGCTTCACAAGGTGGGCTATACAAGCTTCGCTGGGTAGCTTTCGTAAACTAACTAAGATAAAACGAACCTGAGGCGCAGTTATCCTCACTTTCAAGTCCTGTGGAGCAATTTTCCTCATCTAAAAACATATAGTCTGAATATAAAAGCGAACAGCGAACAGCGTGAAAACTCTGAACAAAATGGCGATGGGTGATTGAAGTTCATCGGTGTCCCCTGCGGCAGGAGCCCATGGGGCAAGTCTTGGCCAGGCGGTTGGCAGGGACGAATGGAGACGTTACTGGGTTGCCTGCTCGGGGAACTCGATGATGAACGGGAGCACAGGTGAAATAGATGATAAACAGCAAATAAATCAACAAATGAAGTGAAGTGAAACCTCTGAAAGAAGTCGATCGCCGAATCCTTGTAATAGCGTTGAGCCACCACTCAAAATTATGCTACCGTATAGTGTTTTGCGCACATCCATATCACATTTCTGCAGAATAAAAGTTCAGATGACAACAATATTTACATGTTGTGTAGCAACAGCGCAGGTCGAGGAGAGCGCATGTGAGGGAGCATAGATTAGAGCGCAGCCAGGGCGGCCTTTTCCACCAATAATGCCATCCTGAGCCCTCATCAGTTTGTGGAAAAGGCTGCCCATCTCTTCCACACCATCTCTTTTGCAGGGATAAAAACCATAATTCAAACATAAAATGTGAATAAAGTTAGGAAATCACACCTTGATAGAATCGTTCACAAGCTGAGGAATTCCCGGCCATTCCTCTCCAATCAACTCTGGTCGAAATAGGACTTCCGGAGCACGGAACCTACTAGCTCCTATTTCAAGGCGGGATCCATCCGGTAAAGGATAAATTAGCTGAAAAAGTTTCTACGTTATTTGCTGTCAAGTTTGCGAAACGAACACGTATTGCATTAAAAATTCTCTCCCTACCCACCACTTGCCGGATTCTTAAGATATTTTCCCAGAATTTTCGGGGGACGCCCTACTTTACGGTCCCCAAAGACAGCACGCACTGCCGTTGGAGGAATTTTTGCGAAGTACGACACTTCCCCCCCCCCCGTCCTCATCCCCGATCCTACCTACAACCTCCTAATGTTCTTCCTAATTCCTACTACTTTCCGCAGGTTTTTTTTCCTGTGAAATTCTTCATATTTCAAGCTGTTATCGATTGATAACTGCTGTTTAACGCCGCAGTACGCGATCCGAAAGCTATCACAAGAAGCGTTACGCTAATACGCTGCAGAGGCAGGTCTTTGATTTCTCCGATTCTCCAGTTTTTTTCAGACCGCAGCCAAGCGGAGGAGCATACAGCGCACTCGAAACAGAAAAACTGAGAGAAAAAACAGTGTTACGATCCCTCTCCCTCCTCTCAGCGACCAAATACAACCCTCCCAGCTGGACATTTCCAGCGCATGACGTGCCGTGTCCTGCCTAAACATTTCCCATGTTACCGTCATTACCGAAGAGAAATGCTACAAACCTTGTCACTCTCGTTGGCCTCTTCTTTGACGACATTGGTAGCTAGATAACACGCCTTTTCCTTGATTTCACGAACGATTTCAAACTCGCTAGTTCTGTGAAGATCTGTCCCCTCTTTACGCAATAAAAGCCGCAACCATCGAGTGACATCACGCCCTGCGACATCCATCCGTCCAATGCTGAACAGAAACAAGTAAGGCTTTTAAAACGGCTTACAAAGGTCAGATTCAAAACCACAATTTTCCAAAAATTCTCACGCCAAGTGGAAACTCACGCATGATCGATTGCAAAGCCTTCATATATGGGTACGACGTGCGTTACACCATCACCAGAATCTAGTACAACACCGGTTGTGCGACCTCAAATTAGAACATATAAATTACGTGTGACGCATAAATTGGCACAGGTAGTTTTGTGGGAGCAGAATCTTCCACAGTGAATAGCAGACTGCATCTGGAGATAGCCTACGTCTAACAAGTCTTGTGATTCTAACCGGCACTTCCGATGATAAGAAGGAAGTGAAAGTCTTCAGGACGAGGGTGCCACTCATGATGGGGCCTTCATCTTGTTAGATGCATTCTCCAATTGTGACTTCAAATATTCTTGAAACCGCAAAATCTCTACCTCAACCTGGTTATGGAGGAGTTTTGGAGTTAGATCCTCTTGGAGGGGCATTTCGCTAGAGCCTTCACCCTGCGAACCCTACAGAAGCTAGTAAAGCCATACAGCCATACATATGAAGCTCCCGCGATGTCGCGAGTTTACAAGAGTTACAGGTCCAACCTGTGAGGAAAGTGAAGAAACAAGCGAAGCAGCAAACCCCTTCCCTGCCTAAGACGAACAGATTAAATTTTCCCCTGATACTCCATTCAGGTGCATTGGCTGATAACGGTTTTCATCCTCAAAATCACTACTGGGCCGGGAACACATTTCACCTTTGCAATCGCTAATAAAATCGTAACCACGGCCAGTGAAATGGTAGACGAAAGCGTACTTA